TTCCTCCCTGTCTCTCCTCTCTGTATATCCGCCTTTCCAATAAAAAAATAATAAAAATAAATCTTAAAAAAAAAAAAAGAATTCATTTGTTTAAAAAAAAAAAGTGTTTATTTTTACTTGAAAGAATTACCAAGAGAGAAAGGGAGAGACAGAGAGAGCTAGGCCAAACTGAAGCCAGGAGCCAGGAGCTTCTTCTGGGTCTCCCATATGGGTGCAGGGACCCAAGGCCTTGGGTCCTCCTCCACTGCTTCCATAGGTCATTTAGCAGGAAGCTGGATCAGGGAGTGAAGTAGCTAGCTAGCATTCAGACTAGTGCCCATATGAGATGCCAGTCCCATAGGTAAGAAATGGCCTGCAACATCACTGTTCCAGCCCCAAGAATGTCTTTGTTTGAAGACAATCCTATTTTGTAACTTTTCTCTGGGTGCCCTCCAGCATGGGAGCTAGGTGACCCTCTGGTGTGTCTGCTTTAACCTGTCCAAAAAAAAAAAAAAAAAAAAAAAAGGTCATTTGGTCATTTCAGAGCTATGGCAGGCAGGACAGGTGCACATGGAACTGACCCCAGAGAACGGACACACCCTCTCCCTCGGCAAGCAGGTGGGAGCATTGCTGGGCCCAGCACTTCCACAGGGTACGGGAACCGTTAGCTTCACACAGGTAAGGAGCCAACTGTTCCCAACGAGGAAATCCTGGAGAGATTCTTCTGGGTGAGGAGCTCCCCCACCCGTCACCCTCGCCGATCTGCCCGCCCCTTTCCTGCCGTCACAACAGCAGGCACGAGCCTACCCACTCGATTCCTCGATTCCTCGGGGAACAGGCAGGTCTGCCGCTCCCGTCTCTGCCGTGTAACCCAGTTAGGCGTTCTCTGGAACCTGATTTCAGACAAGCCATTTCCCAGCACCGCCGTCACACACAGGCTGGGAGAAGGAGCAGGTCGGGCACCCATCCTTGGCAGCAGGGTGACGCCGCACCGGCACCTGACCCTGGATGCCGTGTGGGACAGCCGGGCCTGTGGTGCCGTGACTGGCTGTGGTCGCAGGGCACCGGCTGTGGCCACTCTCGGACCACCGTGCCGTTCCCTCGCGAGGGCTGTTCCCTGGGGACAGGATGCCTCCTCGCCCACGTTCGGTGGCATGGCACAGGGACGGACTCCTGTCGTCTGCTCAGGTTTCCCTTCAGACCTTGGTCCTTTGCTGGCCACGGGTCATGTGACAATACGGTTGTAACTGTGCCTGCCAAGCTTCCCTTGCTTGAAAGCTGACTTGCAGGAAGAGCCTAGAAGGAGGCAGCCCAGGGTGGCCAGCTACTTGGAGGCCTCAGGAATCCCAAACCACGTGCTGGGCTTGTGGGGTTGGCCACCCTCCAATGGGGCGTCGCCCTGAGCTCATCCCCGGGGCTAGGGGTGGTCTGAGCAGCCTGCAGGATGCGTTCCACAAACAGGAAGGCTCTGCCACATCAGTAAGGTCCTCCAGCCACCCACCGCTCCTCCCACACCCTGCCAGGGCAGTGTTCGAGCCGGGGTGTGAGCCCAGACTCGTCTAACCCAAAGGCTCAAGATTTTCTACCACATGGCACAACCACTCAGGCAGAGCCGGCGGCCAGGGGAGGGGTGTGGCACAGGAGCAAACTTGGGCAAAGCCAGCAGCCTGAATGGACACAGGTTCGTGTCCTAACTGCTCCACTTCTGATCCAACTCTCTCCGGGAAAGCAGCAGAGGCCTAAGAAGCCTAAGGCTGCCAGCTTCCACCTGGACCAACACTACCATCGCAGTTATCTGGAAATGAACCCGTGTGTGTCTCTCTCTCCTGTGTATGTGTATTCCTCTCTGTGTAACTGCACTGTTCAAAATAAATAAATGAATCTTTTTAAAAATCATTGGGCCTGGTGCAATAGCCCAGTGGCTAAAGTCCTCACCTTGCATGTGCCAGGATCCCATGTGGGTGCTGGTTCGTGTCCTGGCTGTTCCACTTTCCATCCAGCTCCATGCTACAGCCTAGGAAAGTAGTCAAGGACGCCCCAAAGCCTTGGGACCCTGCATCTGCGTGGGAGACCTGGAGGAAGCTCCTGGCTCCTGGCTTTGGATTGGCTCAGCTGTGGCCATTGTGGCCACTTGGGGAGTGAACCAGAGGATGGGAGAGCTTTCTCTTTTCCTCTCCTTTTCTATATGGGTTTGACTTTCCAATAAAAATAAATGAATCTCTTTTTTTTTTTATTTTAGCAAAATTAATAATAAGCAGAGCGTGGGCGCTCTGAAAGCCAGGCTGAGCACAGGCCTGGGGACCTCCAGGCAGGAAGGGAGGAGGGCGAAGGGAGGAGGGAGGGAGGGCGGCGCCCTGTTCCTCGACAGCCACCTGTTCCCTCCCCCTGCACAGAGCGGCTGGCTCTGCCTTTGTGGGGGTGTGTGTGTGGCGGGGGGAGCTGTCTCCATCTTTTGTGTCTTGTGAGCACGTCTTCCTTGCCCTGCTCTCCCTCCGCGTTCCTTTTTGTAGCTAATACTCCCACGGGCCTCCCACGGCAGCTCCCAAATGCAGCCTCCCGAGCACTTTCTTGTTGACAAAGGCTGGGAGCCGTCTACACAGGGCTCCCCCTCCAGCTCCCCTCCCTCGCTGGGGGGAGGGGGAGAGGAAGCAGACTGCACCGTGAGAGGACCCAGCCCCCACCTGGCCGCCCGCCAGTCCGCAGACCCCCGGGCCAGCCTCAGTTCTGCCTTCCATCCTCTCACCTGCCCTGGCCTTGTGCGTCATGGTGCTGGGTGCGGACAGGCGCGGGCTCATCGCCAGGAGCTGAGGGTCAGGCAGAGGCGCTGAGCCTGCACACCCACCCCATGCACAGGCAGTCTTTGAGGGGCATGGGAGAGGGGGGAGGCTTGAAGACCTTAAAGGCGAGAACGAGGGAAATGGGCAGTAAACGCGAGTGCATTCTCTTCCCGGAGTGTCCGCTCAGCGCCTCCAGGAGCCCAGGCAGGTGAGCTGGAGTTTGCACACGCAGCGCTTGGCTCTCTGGGGTGACCCTGGGACCACCGAGGCCCCACACACTGTCCGGAGGGCTCGGGGGCAATGGCTGGACTCCGGGACAGCAACCGTCAGGGCCGCAGCGCTGGCTCTGTCACCTACCAGACTCCTGACCTACAGAGTCTCCCACCCCGCTGTTTTGTCTTCTACAGCCTCCTTGCTGGCAACATGGGGTGTAAGGCAGCGCCGTGGTTTTTGGAGGGTCACCACCACACATCCGCATGATACGAGTGCCAGACGTCCACTCACTGAGCCTAAGGACAGCCTTAGTCCCATCTTACAGATGGGAAAACTGAGTCCCGGAAACGTTAGCAACCTCTCTAAGTGGTAAGGAAAAATGAATCACCGAGACAGCAGATAGCGGAGCGGTATTCAATCCCAGATCCCGAGGCAGCAGGCCCTCTGAACCTGCCACATCTGCTCTCAGAGGGAGCTAATTCCCAAGTGGGCTCTGCTTAGCCGGGGACTCGGGAACACCCCGGGGGAGCACTCCGCGGCCAGGACCAGGCCAGACGTGGGAGGGTGGCCGGACGCAGCAGCCACTGACTGCCTGGGCGCGCACCCTGCCAGCCAGAGGCTGCGGGGGAGAGGGTCCTGCCCCGCCTCTTGCCCAGGCCCGCCTCTCCGAAGTGAGGTGGGCGGAGCGGGGGACGCGTGCGTGTCTCCTCCAGGAGTGGGGTGCTGGGCTCCCCGCTTCCTTGGATCGGGAACAAACTGCAGCTTTGGCCCCGGCGCTGCTGGGCGCGGGCGGCAGCCGCGGTCGCCGGCGGCCGTGGGAGGAGGAGGAGCGGTGCGGGCAGGCGCGGCGCGCACGGCGAGGTCCAGGGGTCCGTGCGGAGAGACGGCGCCCCGCAGCTGTACTGGGCCCGCGCGCCTGCAGCGTCCCGGCCAGCGCCCGCCCTGGGCGCGGAGCTGGGTCCTTGGCCGTCCGCACAGGCGCGCGCCAGGCCAGCAAGTTTCCTTCTAGGAGCCTGACCTTGATCGCCGCCCTTGTGCGCAACCAAAGGGGCGGCGCAAGGCGACAGGTGTTGCATGAGAAAGGACGTGAGCCGCCTGGTCGCCTCAAGCCTCCTCTGGGCCCGTGCCTTTGAGGCCAGCCCCAGAGGCCTGGAACGCAGCTTCTAGTCGTGGCCGAATCCATTTTCCGGAGGGGCAAGTTGAGGCTCAGACAGGCTCTGGCTCCAACAAACAGAACACCATCCCAGCCACCCCCGTCTGCGGTGAAACTGCAGACTCTCTGGGCCCCCCCCCCACCTGCGCCTTCCCGAGCGCCCTGTTCCCGTCTAAGGGTGACAGCAGCCCCCGCCCGACCCTCTCCCCGCCCCTGGGGGGGCGCGCCGGGAGACGCTACCAGGAGGCTGAGAACCACCCCCCGCCCCCCACCCGAGCTTGCAGAGACGCCTCGCCCCTGCTCGCAGCTGAGTCAGCCAGAGCCGACCCGGCGCTCGCCCGTCATCCTCCGAGGGGTGGGCGGGCGGTGCGCGGCGGCCCCTGGGGCGGGGTAGCAAGGCGGCAGCCTCCAGCCCCCACCGGGGTGCCCTGGGGTGGGGGACGGGTGGCGGGGGTACCCCTCGGCAGGCGGCCTGTCCCTTTAAGGAGGCGGCCCTGCCTGGGTGTGCCCCGTCTCCATGGTTACCCCGGTGCGGGCGGCGGCGGGCGCGGGAGGGAAGGAGGCTGCCGCTGTTCCCCGACAGACGGAGGACGCTGCGGGGACCCGGCGCCGAGCGCAGCCCGAGCGGGAGCCGACCCGCAACGCAGACGCCAACTGCGGCGGGGAGCGGGGCGGGGGTGCCCGGAGCGCCGCGGCCGCGGAGCCTGGAGCCCCGGCTTTGGGGGGGCCATGCCCGGGGCCCCGACGGCGCGGACGACCCCCAGCGCACCCGCCGCTGGCGGGGCCTTCAAGTCCGCGCCGGGCTCTGTGCTTCGACGGCTGCGCTAGGGGTTGCGGGGCCCGGCGGGGGGCGGCCGAGCTGGGCGCCCTCCCCCGGCGCTGAGTCCCCGCGCCCCGGAGGGATGGGGCAGGCGGCCGTGGCAGCCTAAGATGCCGGCCATGCGGGGGCTCCTGGCGCCGCAGAACACCTTCTTGGACACCATCGCCACGCGCTTCGACGGCACGCGTGAGTGTGACCCCCTGATCCCCCGCTGGCAGACGAGCTGGGCCCCTCCAGCTTGTCACTGGGGTCCGGGACGCTGCGTTCTCCCGGGGCGAGGTGGTGGGGCTCGCCAAGTCTGACCTAGCAGGCTCCCACGTGGCTGCCCTTCGACCGGCGAGTGGGGTGCAGCCGGGAGCAGTGCTGGGGGCAGCCGGCGAGTCTGCAAGGGAGGTGGAGCGTGTAGGTGCCCGCGCCCCTCTTTGCTGCTTCCCACCTGCGCTGGGAGCTGCTTGGGGACACCCAGCAGCCCCGGGGAAGTTCTGGCTCCTGTGTTGGGGGTGGGGGTCAGCTCTGAGCTGGAGGACAAGTGGTGGTGCCCCTTCCCCTCCTCCCCCACGCACCGCCTCCCTGGGGAGGGGTGATGCCCAACTCTTGGAACAGACAGGCCCTGCACTGACTGGGTTCTGCAAAGAGGCCGGGAGCATGCGAGCCCCACTCCAACCTCCTCCATCTGCTTTGTCAGTGTGCTTGGCTCAGCAGCCTGCTGATTAAGCGCCCCCCCCCCCTCCTTAGCCACCAGTCCTTACACCCCCATTCCTTATCACATTTACTCCTTCCTGAGCAGGTCCAGCGCCCCCAGGGCTGCGGGACCACTTGCTTCTCCTGCAGGGTGGGCATCCCTGGGAGGCACCCACAGCCTGCCTACCTGAGCACCTGGCTGAGTGGCCAAGCCTGGCAGGGGTGCAGGCGGGATGGAGGAGGGCCTGGCACCAGTCATGCCATGCCCCTCTGGGCATCCACATGCCCACCCAGGAGGGCTCAGGAGCCATCCAAAACCATGTTGAGTTCTCACGTTGCACAGGATGCCAGGTGCAGGACCACCCCGTGTCCCAGGCTCACACCCCTCCCCCCCATTCACCTTCCTGGCCGGGGCTGGGTCACAGGCATCGGGGAGAGGAGGGCCAGTGGCCGGGCACCCCTCTGACAGGCGGGCGCTCTCCTGCAGACAGTAACTTTGTGCTGGGCAATGCCCAGGTGGCGGGGCTGTTCCCCGTGGTCTACTGCTCCGATGGCTTCTGCGACCTCACGGGCTTCTCCAGGGCCGAGGTCATGCAGCGGGGCTGCGCCTGCTCCTTCCTCTACGGGCCGGACACCAGCGAGCTGGTCCGCCAGCAGATCCGCAAGGCCCTGGACGAACACAAAGAGTTCAAGGCCGAGCTGATCCTCTACCGGAAGAGTGGTGAGGGCCACTGGGCTGGCTACCCTCCCTCCATCTTCCCATCCCCTGGGCACCAGTTCCCTGTCTCACCCCGTTTGCTCCTCCAGCCTGCATCCTGCCCCCACCTTTGGCCCAGGGCCCCTCACTCCTGCTCTTCCCCCAGTCTCAGATGCACAACAGGGCAGACGTCCTGGGGTCCCGTCTGCCCCCCCCCCGGCCCTCCCACCCCATCTATCAAGCCTCAGCCTCAGGGGACATGAATTGCTCCAGGTCCCGCTTGTGACGACACCTGGGGTGGGGGGCAGCTGAGTCTGTCTTTGTGTCCAGGGCTCCCATTCTGGTGTCTCCTGGATGTGATACCCATAAAGAATGAGAAAGGGGAGGTGGCCCTCTTCCTGGTCTCCCACAAAGACATCAGCGACACCAAGACCCGAGGGGGCCCTGACAACTGGAAGGAAACAGGTGGGTATCCACAGGCTGTCATGCTAGGCTGCTAGCCTGTGTTAATCCCCCTGTGCACCTGCTAACTGATGCTGGGGGAGAGGTGTGTGCTGGCCCCAGCTCTGAAGGCCCAGTGCAGACATCTTTAGCTAGACCAGGTGAGACCCAGAGGGTTGAGTTTGCTAAGACCCTGGAAGCAGGCCCACTCAACACCTGCTGGTTGAGCTCAGCCCCGCCTGGCTCCCGGCCAGCTGGCACACCGCCAGACCAGCCCTGGTCTGAGTCCCTGCAAGTCCTTCCAGGCCTGGGGCAGCATGAGGTGCGTCACAGAGATGTTAAGTCTGGGGACTCTCCTCCTCCATGCCCCCACCCCAGCCCTGCGTTTACCTCTTCATGACGTCAAGCTTCAGCATCACACCCCACTCCTACTGCAGCCAGACCTCGGGCCCTTCAGAGCCCCACTCCTGCCCAGAGGACCCCCTGTGCACTCTGCCCTCTTGCCTTCCCCTGGAGACGATACCTGTGGCCTCATTGAGCCATTAACCCCCTGGAAGCAGGTCCTGGGAGTGTGTCCTTAAGCAAATGGCCCCAGAAAGCGAGGAATGCCTAAAATCCCAGCTCTCCCCAGAATAAGCAAGTGATGAGTGATCCAGACCCGCCCTCGGGCTTACAATCAGTGTCAGGTGCTCCTTCATCTTTGTTTAAACAAATATTTATTTATTTACTTACTTAAGAGTTCTGCCCCTGCCCCATGACAACTCAACTACCTAATCCTCCCCTTGCGAGCACGAGGATCCCTTATGGGCACCAGTTCATGTCTCAGCTGCTCTGCTTCCCATCCAGCTCCCTGCTTGTGGCCTGGGAAAGCAGTGGAGGACAGCCCAAAGCCTTGGGACCCTGCACCCATGTGGGAGACCTAAAAGAAGCTCCTGGCTCCTGGCTTCAGATTGGCTCAGCCCTGGCTGTTGTGGCCACTTGGGGAGTGAACCAGCAGATTGAAGATCTTTGTCTGTCTCTCCCTCTCTTTGTAAATCTGCCTTTCCAATAAAAGTAAATCTTAATTTAAAAAAAAAAAAGAGTCAAAAAAATTTCACAAGGAGATAGAGAAAGATAGGGTGAGGAAAAGAGAGATCTTCCGTCCACTGATTCACTCCCCAAATGGCCACAATGGCCAGAGCTGAGCCCATCCAAAGCCAGGAACCAGAAGCTTCTTCCAGGCGCCCCAGGTAGGTGCAGGGGTCCAAGGCCTTGGGCTGTCCTCCTTTACTTTTCCAGGCACATTAGCGAAGAGCTGGGTGGGATACGGAGCAGCCGGGATTCCAAGTGGCACACATATGCAGTGCTGCAGGTCGTGGACTACCGCGCTGTGCCACAGCACCAGTCCCAACCCTTCATGTTTTGCAGGTGGTGGCCGCCGCCGCTATGGCCGGGCAGGATCTAAAGGCTTTAATGCTAACCGGCGGAGAAGCCGGGCCGTGCTCTACCACCTGTCTGGGCACCTGCAGAAGCAACCCAAGGGCAAGCATAAGCTCAACAAGGTAGATGGAGCAGGCATGTGGGTGTGTTCGGGTGTGGGAGCAGGCAGAGCAGGGGAGTGGGGGCGCTACACCCAGAATGCCGAGGGAGTCCCGCGCTCAGGGCGCATGTTGGGGCTGGGACAACAGGAGGCGATTTCCTGCATCTGACCCAGACAGGCAAGCCTTGGCTCTGGTGTCAAGTGCGTCGTATTCCATCCTGGCTCTGCCCCTCACCAGCTGGTGCCCTCAGGGGTGGAGGGGGGTGTGGTCTCTGCTGCTGTCTTCCGATCTGGCCAGAGGCTGCTGGGATGAAGCTAAGGGCGATGACTGCCCATGTGTGTGGAGGTGCGCGCTGAGCGAAAGCCCACCTCAGCCTGTGCCTTCCCCAGGGGGTGTTTGGTGAGAAACCAAACCTGCCCGAGTACAAAGTGGCCGCCATCAGGAAGTCGCCCTTCATCCTGCTGCACTGCGGGGCTCTGAGGGCCACGTGGGATGGCTTCATCCTGCTGGCCACGCTCTACGTGGCGGTCACTGTGCCCTACAGCGTGTGCGTGAGCACGGCGCGGGAGCCCAGCGCCGCCCGCGGCCCACCCAGCGTCTGCGACCTGGCGGTGGAGGTGCTCTTCATCCTGGGTATGTGTGCCTGCGCGCGCGCCGTCCTCCCGCCCTGTGCCGCGCGCCCGCCCTGTGCCGCGCGCCCTCTGTCCCCCTGCAAGCTTGGAAGTCAGACTCAAGCTCCGGCTGACCCCGAGCCCCCGCATCTCCCTCCTCAAGACGGGTGTGAGGCCTAACTCAGACGATGTGCACCGAGGGCATGGGGCAGCGCCAAGTTCAGGGCAGCTGCCCACCAAGAGTGTCCTCCCTCCCGCCCCCACTGACTCCCTCGGGGGCTCCTCCTCGCAGACATCGTGCTGAATTTCCGCACCACGTTCGTGTCCAAGTCAGGCCAGGTCGTGTTCGCCCCCAAGTCCATCTGCCTCCATTACGTCACCACCTGGTTCCTGCTGGACGTCATCGCGGCGCTGCCCTTCGACCTGCTCCACGCCTTCAAGGTCAACGTGGTCCGTGCAGCTGGGCTGGATGGGTGGGGCCCGGGGCGGGCCGGCGGGGTGCAGCCGGCCCAGCCTCGGCGTGACCTCCGTGCTGCCTCGGCTTGTTCTCAGTACGTCGGGGCGCACCTGCTGAAGACCGTGCGGCTGCTGCGGCTGCTGCGGCTGCTCCCGCGGCTGGACCGCTACTCGCAGTACAGCGCTGTGGTGCTGACGCTGCTCATGGCCGTGTTCGCCCTGCTCGCCCACTGGGTCGCCTGCGTCTGGTTCTACATCGGCCAGCAGGAGATTGAGAACAGTGAAGCGGAGTTGCCCGAGATCGGTACCGGGGTCCTGGGGAACAGGGGCGGGGGCTGTGCTGTGCCCCAGCGAGTGTATGCAAGTGGCTGCCCCCGCTAAGTGGACGGCCTCCTGTCCAGCCTGCCCACTGCCTGTGGCGCCCACTCCCTCGAGCGTCGCTCACCCTCCTTATCCCCGGCCGGACGCCTTAGCTGGAGCTCATACTTCCCATTGCTGCCCCACCCAGGTCCCCGCCACCCACCTGTCACCTCACCCTCCCAGGACCTTCCCGCAGCCATGCCCGTGTGCTCGACCTTCCCCTTCCATGGCCACAGCCTCTCCCACCTGCCCTTAGATGCTTCAGTCCTGATGGGGAGGTGGACGGGTGTGTGTCCCCACCTCTGCCCGCAGATGGCAGTCACACTGTGATGGCGAGTCCTTCCCTCCCCTCTGCTGGCCTGGCCTCTGCTGGGTCTTCACTTCTGTCCTCAGCTCCTGTCCTTTCTCTCGGGTCCCCACCACCTCACCCTGCCTGCACCCCTACTTCTTAGTGCTCCTTGGTGAGGTTGCAAGGGTTCCAACCCTGCCTGGAAACCCCACTCTGGGCACTCCCTTGGGGTGACAAGGCTGCCGTGTGTGGCCTGTCGCTTGGCAGGAGACCTGTGTGTGTGTGTGCCGTGTGTGTCCCTGACTGCTGCAGCTCACGTGGGGGCAGGCACCCCTCACAGGCCCCACCGTGGTGGGAACAGAAGTGCTGCCTCGACCTCCACCTCTGTCCCCTGCCATGGGGGCTGCTCCCGGCCGGGCTACAGGCTCCTCTGCAGTTGGCATGGAAGAGTTGGCGGGGCTCTGCTAGCTCTTTAACAGACACACACATGCGGGTGTCCTGCCACCTTGCCCCGTGGGTTCAGGGTGGCCTCGCTGTGCTTGGGCTAGCATTCAAGTGCTTTTCATTCTCCCCCCCCCACCACCACCACTCTCCCTCCCCCACTAGGTTGGTGCCAAGATCTGGACCTGCCAGCCCCCCCCACACACACACTCCCTCCCTGCAGGCATCTCAAACAGGAGGGCGGACTCTGTCCATCCCCAGCCCCTCTCTTCAGAAAGAGCCCCCTCTCCTTCTCCTTGGATCCGAATTCTACCTGTCCATGGAGTCCAGTCATACATGTTCCCTCCTCCAGGAAGTCTTCCAGCTCACAGCACTGTGACCTGGGGCCCCTTGGGTGGCAGCTGCCCTGGCACCCAGCTGGGCAGGTGAATGGGCAGATGACAGGAGGGCTGTGGGCATGGCATGGACAGCAGTGAGGTGCTGGGAAAATGCAGGGTAGGTCTGTGTGCCCAGCAGGAGGGCGAGGGAGGCAGGCAGAGCCGTACTCACATGGGTGCCCACGCTCACCACCTCCTCAGGGCCCTCAGCTCTGCCAGGACCCTGCTACACCCCACAACTCCTACAAGGTTCCAGCTAGGCTCAGAATGACTTCCAGCAACCATGAGCTCATGAAGGAACCTCCAGCTCAGTCCTGCCTCCCGCCCAGGCCAAGCGGAGGATGTGCGATTGCTGGAGGCACTGGGGCTCGTGCAGCCTCTCCACCTGGTGGCCCAACCTTGCCTGCACAGGTGCACGCACCTGCCAGCCTGTGCCCACTCTGTCCTCAACCTGAGTTCTAGTGTCTGTCAGTGTGCCCACCCTCCCAAGTGGCGCGCAAGCACCACCACATGCACCTGCCTGCGCCCCACGTGTGCACAGGCCCCCCAGGAGGGCCATGTTGTGGCTCCAGCCAAGGTGCTCACCCATGGGTCCTTATCTCCCCAAGAAGCAGGGCAGCTGAGCTGCCTCAAAGCAGGGGACACATGTCCGCGTGGCTCGGGGTGGCTTGTAGGGCGGGGCGAAGCTGTAAAAGGGGGAGTTGGTGGCAGGCTTCTGGACATGGGCTGGTGGAAGAGGGGAGGAGAGGGCCTCTGCTTCAGCCTTGGGGACCCAGCCTTTGTCACCCACCACTAGCTGGCTACCAATATGGCTGGCTGCAGTCTCAGGTTCCCAGGAGTCCACGCTCCTTCTGTCTGGGGTCTCTGGGCTAGGTAGCAGGTGCTGGGCTGACCAAGGAAGGGCAGGGGCAGGCAGCTCTGGGTTGGGGGGAGCGTGCGTGGCTTGTCCCGCACCTCTGCCTGCTCAGGCTGCCTTCTGCTCTTTCCAGGCTGGCTGCAGGAGCTGGCCCGCCGCCTGGAGACGCCCTACTATCTGGTGGGCCGGTCGCCCGCAGACAGGAACGGCTCTGGGCCAAATGACAATTGCACTAGCAGCCCAGGCGAGGCCAACGGGACTGGGCTGGAGCTCCTGGGTGGCCCTTCACTGCGCAGCGCCTACATCACCTCGCTCTACTTCGCACTCAGCAGCCTCACCAGCGTGGGCTTCGGCAACGTGTCCGCCAACACGGACACGGAGAAGATCTTTTCCATCTGCACCATGCTTATTGGCGGTGAGACGCGGCAGGGCCCCAGCTCGTCCAGCGTCGGAGGGGAGATGGGGGAAGCCGCGGGCAGCGAGGTCGGTGCTGGGGCGGGCCTGGCAGGTGCAGGCGGGGCGCGGCCAGCAGGTGTGACCGGCTCGTGCCGCCCCCTCCAGCCCTGATGCACGCAGTGGTGTTTGGCAACGTGACGGCCATCATCCAGCGCATGTACGCCCGCCGCTTCCTCTACCACAGCCGCACCCGTGACCTGCGAGACTACATCCGCACGCACCGCATCCCCAAGCCCCTCAAACAGCGCATGCTCGAGTGCTTCCAGGCCACCTGGGCAGCGAACAACGGCATCGACACGGCCGAGGTGCGCGGGCCTTTCAGACGGCTTGGGGCCTTCCTGCCCAGTCCCGGGTTTGCCTGGAGATGGAGGCTGGAACACGAGCTCCTACTGGGCCCGTCAGAGGCCTGGAGGGAAAAGCTGGGCTGTCCCAAGGCTGGAAGGCGGCGGGGTGGCTGGAGCGTGCCCCCAGCCCTCTCCACAGGCTCTGCTCACCCCCTTCCCCCGCCGCAGCTGCTTCAGAGCCTCCCGGACGAGCTGCGCGCAGACATCGCCATGCACCTGCACAAGGAGGTCCTGCAGCTGCCGCTGTTCGAGGCCGCCAGCCGCGGCTGCCTGCGGGCCCTGTCGCTGGCCCTGCGGCCCGCCTTCTGTACACCGGGCGAGTACCTCATCCACCAGGGTGACGCCCTCCAGGCCCTCTACTTCGTGTGCTCCGGCTCCATGGAGGTGCTCAAGGGCGGCACGGTGCTTGCCATCCTAGGTTCGTGAGGGTGAGAAAGAGGGCACAGGGACCCGTGAGTGCCCCTGGGAGAGACATCTGGGCCCTCATCTGCAGAGTCCCCAAGGGGCTGCTCAGTGAGCGCAAGATGGCTAGTCTTGCTGTGTCCCAGCGATGGACAGAGTGAGGGGATGGGAAGGGCAGAAAGTTGGACCGCACACATGCAAATGCCAGGGCCCGCTTCAGGCAGGGCTGAACAGAAGCTGAATTTGTGGCTTGAGAGGTGAGATGCTGTATTCCTGATCCCGGGCTGAGCTTGAGGGAACAGCACCCACAGTGCATGCACTTCATGAGTTGGTACAAGGAAGGGGCGGAGGTGATGGGAGGAGGAGAGGGGTGCTCCTGTGGGGCGGACCCAGGCATGGCACTGTACACCTGCCACTTCTGGTTCAGCCCTGCCAGCTGGCCAGGGGGGCAGAGGAGGAGACAGAGGCTGAGGTCAGAGAGCTTTAAGAACAGCGGGCCCTGGCCACCTGGGTGGGGTGGGGGATGCGTCTGCTGGTCCCTCATCATGTGCTTCGGGAAGGGGTCTCAGGACGCTGTTCCGGAACTTCAGGAGAATATAGTCAAGCGCTGGGGGCTCGGGTTGCCTCTGTAAGGTGCCATGGGCTGTGACAGGTGATAAGGAATGCTGGGATTTGGAGGGACAGCGCGGAGTTACACTGAGGCAGAGCAGCGCTTGTGGATTCAACATGGAAACGCCTGCAGCCCGCAGGCACTGAGGCTTGAAGCCGACCTGGCAGCCCTCCAATGCAGAGGCACATGGTGGCATTGCAGTGGCCATCCCCGGGCAGCTGCTATGTGTCCAGTCTTGCTCTGTGCAGGAGGAAGCAGCAGATGCCATGGGGTCCTTGGCGGCTGAGTCCAGCCTTTCGGCCTCCACTTGGTTCCCACCAGGTCCCGGCAAACACGGATGTTTCACCAAGCTGCCTGGTGATCCCGGAGAGGGCGTGGAGAACTGAAAGGATCAGAAAGGTGGAGAGGGAATTTTGCTCCCTTCACAGTGGCTAGCTGGGAGCAGAACTCAGGGTAGTTTTTGGAGCAGAGGTCTTTAGCCTGGGGCAAGGAGGCCATGTGGCCTGAGGTGCATCCAGGCACTCCTGAGGGTGAGGGGAGTACTTCACCCTGCTCCCAGAAGAGCCATGTTCAGTGTTAGTGATTCAGGCCAAGCCACAGAGTGGTGGTAGCCTGAACCCGGGTCCTTGTCACCACAGCATCCCAGCAGCAGGAGTTAGGTTCCGCTTAATGCATGCTATTGCTGCACATACAGGTTCTGGGTTGCAGTGCGTCCCCATGGCCTGGTTCCACCCAAGGCTGGCCCAGTGACCCCTGTGCCCATCCAGTGAGGGGCTGTGCCCAGACCCTGGGACCATCCTCCTCGGTGCTGCTCTTGGCTTTGGGGTCACCTCCTGGAAGGAGACAAGGACCTCACACACCTATTTGAGCTGGCCTGAGGGACAGCCAGTGCCTCTGCCAGTCCTTCCTAAAGGAGCCCTCGATGGCCTGGGCTGGGAAGACAAGATGTACGGATGTGTGGGAACCTCTTCAGAGATCCAAGTTCAAGTCCACTGCCGCTTGGAGGCGCCCCGGGCTCGGGGTGTGCTGCCCGGCACAGCACAGGATATCGTCATCCTGTTAAAGGTGCTGCGTAGGATCTAGCTGGGAACTCTGGCTCGGAAGGAAAGGGAATGTAAAGGATTTCCTTTTCTTTCCTCCGGGATTTTCCATCTCTGCCGGGCACTTAAACTGCGTGAACACCTAGGGTGCCTAGACGGAGGTGCCCAGGTCACGGCCTCCACATCTGTCCCACTCCGTCTGGTATCTCAGAGGCAGTGCAGCCAGCACAGGAACACCGTCTGAGGGAGCAAAGAAGAGCCCGCGGACTCCACTAAGCACATCATCTCTGGAGCTGGGAGGCAGCAGGGCTTGGGGCCTGGAGCTGCTGGACATTGTCACCATTACCCCCTTTCCCGGGCAATGAGCCACTAGTTCCAGGACCAGCTGCACCTCGATGGCCTATGGGGATTTTAGAGGCCAACTGGGGAGCTTCCCCGCCCCCCGCCAGGTGGGGTAGGGGAGGCAGGCAGCAGGGGTAAGGGCCTCGTCCAGCCTGGGGCCTCTGTCCTTGGTCCTGGGGCCAGAGGTCGGGGCTGATGGTCTCTGCTTCTTCTCCCCAGGGAAAGGCGATCTGATTGGCTGTGAGCTGCCGAGACGTGAGCAGGTGGTTAAGGCCAATGCCGATGTGAAGGGGCTCACGTACTGTGTCCTTCAGTGTCTGCAGCTGGCAGGGTTGCATGAGAGCCTCGCGCTGTACCCCGAGTTTGCTCCACGCTTCAGCCGCGGCCTCCGAGGGGAGCTCAGCTACAACCTGGGTGCTGGAGGAGGCTCTGCAGAGGTGAGGGTGCTGGGTACATGTGCACAGGGGCAGGCTTTGTGAGGTGCTGCTTGTGAGGCATGGTTTTGGTCTCCAACCCTGCCCCTCCCGGCGTGCATACATTCATCAGCTACCCAGCCCTCCCTCGTCCATCCAAAACAGCCAAGTCCTAGGTCAAGGAAACCAAGTCCACTGGCACTGATGGGGGGTCATGGCACATGGGGGGGGCAGCAGTCTCCCACCCCAAGCTGTTCCTGGCTTCCCACACTTCTTTGTGGCACAGCTGCACTGTTAGACGAATTCTAAGCCAGCTACCCATGCTGCAGCTAAATAAAGGGAGGCCAGTCCATGTGGCTGAAATCCTGAAGGGAACAACATGCCTCTAGGGCTGTTTCCTACCCTGCACCCCCACCCGATCCCCCACTCTACAAGTGTCATCTCTGGCTTTCCATTTCAGCAGGGCTGCTCGTCCCTTCTCAAGGAAGAGGGAGGCTTGGGAGGGCAGGCAAGTGGGGCCTCCCACACTGATGGCCTCCAGCCACCCCATGCTTGTCCTCAGGTGGACACCAGTTCCCTGAGTGGTGACAACACCCTCATGTCCACGCTGGAGGAGAAGGAGACAGATGGGGAGCAGGGCCCCACAGTCTCCCCGGCACCTGCCGAGGAGCCCTGCAGTCCCCTGCTGTCCCCTGGCTGCACCTCTGCGTCCTCAGCTGCCAAGCTGCTGTCCCCGTGTCAAACGGCGCCACGGCCTCGCCTGGGTGGCAGAGGGCGGCCAGGCAGGGCAGGGGCTTCCAAGGAGGAGGCCGGACCCTCTGCTCACCCGCGGACCCTGGAGGGGCTGCGGCTGCCCCCTGTGCCATGGATCGTGCCTCCAGAGCTCAGCCCCAGGTGAGCTGCCAGCCAGGCCCCATTCCACCCATCTCAACTTCCAGCCTGCATGGGGCAAGCCTGACTTCTCCGGGAAGCCTTCCTTAACTCCGTCCTGCAGCTGTGTGGGCTCCCCCCTGCTCAGGCTGCACACCCTCAGTGGAGGGATGGCGTGTTAGCATCCTCTCGGGGCCCCTCTGGGCTGCAGGAGCTGCTGGCTGTGAACATGGTGCGGTGTCTGTCCCTGACTGCCCTCTTGGGTCTGCAGGGTTGTGGATGGCATTGAGGATGGTTGTGGCTCCTCGGACCAGCCTAAGTTTTCTTTCCGTGTGGGCAAGCCTGGTCCAGAATGCAGCAGCAGCCCTTCCCCAGTGCCAGGTACCTGGGCCAGGGATGGGCGGGTTGGCAGACAACCCCTCGCCCTGGCACACCTCGGCACCTCTTATCTTAGGCAAGGTGTGTTCAGCGTTAGAGCGGTGCCTGTGTGTGTCTGGGGACCGGGTTGGGGTCCCTGCTCTGTCAGCTCCCCCACACGTGCACTTAGCTTCTGTCTTGTGCTTGTTCAATGAGATTGTGTAAACTAAAGCCCTCACCATAGGGCTATTCTCCAGAGGTAGAAGCCTGGGGAGCCAGGGGCTGGAACTGGCCCCAGGGCAGGGCCTGGGCAGCAGACAGGTCAGGAGCTTTGAGTATTTGCAGTAGGGTGCAGACCGCGGGCAGCAGTATTAGGGTCTCCAGGGAGCCAGACATATGAGTAAAGCACGGCGCCTCAGGCCGGGCCACAAGCTGTTACTGAGTCAGGTCCAGTCTGGCAGAGGCCTGGGCCACACTCACTGGCTGGTAACCCTCTCCTTCCATCCACAGACAATGGCCTGCTTACTGTCCCCCTTGGGCCCAGCGAGACGAGGAATACAGACACCCTTGACAAGCTCCAGCAGGCGGTGGGTGAAGGGCAAGGCGGGGAGGGCGCAGGCACGGGCAAGGCAGCTGACCCTCTTGCCCTTCCTTCCTGGTGATGCCCCTCCCTGCAGGTGATGGAGCTGTCTGAGCAGGTGCTGCAGATGCGGGAGGGGCTCCAGTCCCTCCGGCAGGCCGTGCAGCTTGTGCTGGCTCCTCCGGGGGAAGCCCAGTGCCCGGCCAGCCCCTCAGAGCTCCTGCGGCCCCTGCGGGTGGACACCGAGCCTGGCTCCCATGGCCTGCAGCCCCCAGCTGGCTCTGTCTCCAGCGGAACCTGGCCCCATCCACGAGGACCCTCTCCTCTCCTGGCACCCTGGCCCTGGGGCCCCCCAGCATCTCAGAGCTCCCCCTGGCCTCGAGCCTCTGCCCTCTGGGCCTCTGCCTCTGACTTGGAGCCCCCTGCCTCAGAAGAACTCTGCTCTGAGTCCAGCACCCCAGCCTCACCGCCTCCTCCCGAGGAAGGAGCCAGGACTGGTGCCCCCGAGTGTGTGAGTCAGGCCGAGACCACCAGCACTGGAGAGCCCCCTCCGGGGCCAGGGGGCCTGGCCTTGCCCTGGGACCCCCACAACCTAGAGATGGTGCTCATCGGCTGCCATGGCTCTGGCTCGGTGCAGTGGACCCAGGAAGAAGGCACCGGGGTCTGAGCGCCACCTCCGGCCTGTGCGCTGTGCCCGTGGCTGCAGGTATAGCAAGGTGGCCAGGGCTCTGCCTGCCAGGCCTGCTTTCTGCCACGCCCCAGCCTCAGGATGCTGTGCTGCCCGCTGGCTCAGGGTAGGGAGCTGGACAGTACTATGCTGCAGCACCTAGGCCAGGCTGGGGATCTTTAGGGACCCCCTCCTGGGATCCCCCAGGTCAGGTGGGGGCAGGGGCTTGAAGACAGGGAGGGGTTCTGCCATCCTTGCATGTGCCCCTGCCTCTACCTGTCCCCACATTTTTTTTATATTAAAAAAATAATAATAAAGGAAACGACTTTGGGATTTGGTGCTTTTTTATTTACAAAAGAGAAAACAATACAACAAAGTCTGAAGCTAACAGCTGGAGACCTGGAGTGGGATGGTAAGCGGTGGGGCGGAGGGGAGAGCACGGTGGGGGCTCCAGCCCAGGAGCCAGGTCCTCCAGCTCCCCGGGGCTGCGAGCAGCGGGCTGGCAGCTGGTCTGCTGTCTCCCCAGGCTCAGGTTCCCCAAAGCCCAAACTCCATGTCCCGAGGGGGGCTGGGGCAGCACGGGGCAGAGGGTCCCCCGCTATCACCAGTCACTGTGGTGTGATCTTTGCAGCCTCGGCCCGGATGAGGGCGATGAGATCCTGGTTGATGAGGAAGACGAACCGCAGGCTGGCGATCTGCAGAGGGGAGGGCAGAGGTGGCATGGGGCTCAGGCGCCCTGTCCGGCTCCCCACGCCCCCGGCTCTGCCTGCCTGCCTCCCCTCCTCACCTCCACCACGGAGTTGTTGCTGAGGCGCCACTTGGAGCCGCACAGCACGGGCCGCCCGTCGATGTAGATGGGTCGCCGGCCCTCGTTGGCGATGAAGAAGTCACCGTTGTTCTTCAGCTTGATGACACCTACACAGCAGAGGGACAAGGGGGGATGGGACGGGGGAGGTGGTGGCCATGGGGAGCTAGGAGGGAGGCATTCACACCGCTCCTTGCTGCTACCTTGCTTCCGTGAGATCTTCCAGGCGGGACCCTCAAGTGACAGGTCCACGTCGATCTGGTTATCCTTGGTCGCCCGGCCCAGGGTAATCTGGGGAGGATGGCGGGTGAGGGCTGAGTCCGTGGGAGGGGCAGCACCCACAGGTCAGGGCAGAGGATGCCGCCCAGGCAGGGCTCCGTGGTGGCCTCACCTCTCGAGAACGCATCAGGTAGCGCACCATGCGGCCCCGCAGCACTGCCAGTGTCTGGTTGTCAAAGTCCGGAGAGCTCATGCCTGGGGTAAAGCAGAGTCAGAAGGGGAAGGTGCCGGGCGCAGGCCATGGGACCCAGGAAGCAGGGCATGGGGCAGAGCCACCGGCGGCGCTCACCTGTGATGCTGTCCACCAGCACCTGCCACTTGTGCAGCTCCTGCTCCAGCTGCCGGATCTCTCGCTTCTGGCGCCGATCAGCCACCGTCAGCTCTGGGGGGCAGGGGGGGGCGGTCAGGAGGGAGCAGCCCAGGGTCACAGCAGCCTGTCCCATCAAGCACACTCACCGTGTTCCAAGACCTCATCGCGCATGTCCCTGCAGGGGAGAAGAACGGCTCAGGCTCAGTGGGGTGGCCACAGCCCCTCCTGGGTGGACAAGGGCGTGGCACGGGGCCACAGGAGATGGGCAGTCCGCAGAATGGGGCCCTGGCCACTCACTTGAGTTTACTGTCGTCAATCAGGTCTTCGGCGTCAGAGAAGTTCAGCACTTGGTCCCCCTTGGGCAGTGGCTGCACTGAACAAATGACAGAGGAAGGTGAGCACCCGGTTATTCCATGCAGCTGAGCACACATTCCGACCGGAGCCGGGAGAGGGAAGAATGGAGACCGGATTATGCAGGATTGGGCTATGTGGAGAAGGCACTACTCCTGACTCCATTTTACAAAGAAATGGGTACAAGAGGAAGGCTAAACTGTTTGACCCTCACTTGAGCCAGGGCCAGGTCTGCCAGTGGGAGCTCCTCCCTGTGCCATGCCACACATTGCCAGGCACCTCCTGCTGAGGCGGGGTGGGGGAACCCAGAGAGTGCCACACAGGCAGGGAGCCGTCCCGCCTCAAGACAGCTTCCCGAAGGGCCGTGAAATCAGTTTCATTATTTTAACAGTGAGACATCTGACATGCTCCCTGACAGCCTCAGTGTTTTTTCCTTTCTGATGAAAACACACAAGGGACCATGCCCCACATCCCAGGAGCAGTGTGTTCTGGGTGGTGTTCGTAGCCGCAAGGCCTGTTCTGTTGCAACTGTGCAGCCCTGGGCTGTAGGAGCCTCCTGTGCCGGGAGGCAGGTGACGGGACAGTTGGCTCTGAAGCCCCTTCCTCGCCTGGGCTGCCTGAAGTCCCTGGTGATGGCTAACGGGGAACCACCTGTTCTCTGAATAGCAAACGAGAAAACACAACCCCCCCCCACACTGAGTCCTAAGGAACACAAGGAACACATCCTTACGGCAAGGACATCCTGCCAGAGACAGTTCCCTCCCTTCTGGCAGCTCAGGAGCCTGGTCGTAAGGGGAAGAGCGCCACCGCCAAGCTTCCTTCCCAAGTGGTGTGGAGAGCCACACCACCACCCCAGCAGCTCAAGTGTGCTGCACAGGGCACTTGGAAGCCAGCTCCCCGGTGTCACTTGGGAGACCTGCCCACGTCAGTCAGCAGGGAGGGAAGGCAGCAGGCCCACGGCTGCAGGACACAGACAGATGCACTGGGTGTGGGGCCTCATGGGATTTCTTAGTCTCAGGGTTGTGCGCGGCACAGCCTGGCAGAGGTGAGGTGGGAGAGGGAAGCAGGGAGAGCGCCATGGGGGCATGAGGACCTGGAGACAGGACTGATGAGCCAGGGTGGGAAGGAGAGGGAAGGGTCAGTAGTGTGGACAACAGCTGGAACATCACCCATGGAAAATATGCATGTGCTATTCACGGCAAGGTGAGAGACGCCCAGGAGAAACAAGCGGGTGATGACTCCAGGGCTTGGCTCTGCGCCCAAGACTGCAGGCTTCTTGGGCTGCCTGCTGTGCCGCCTCGCACCGCATGGTGAGGGAGGCATGACCTGGAGCCCCCTGCCCTGGCCCGCCCCTGGAGGGCTACCTGTCTGGTCCTCGAGCAGGTAGTACTGCTTCATGAGCTGCCAGTGTGCCTGCAGGGCCTTGGCCGTCCGCGTCAGGTAGAAGGCGTCCGGGTGTCTGTGCAGCAGGTCCTGGAAGGTCTCCAAGGTGGGCTGGCTGCTCTGTGGGGTCAGAGACAAGCTCCAGGTACCAGACACTCTCCCTCTGCCTTCCCAGCCCTGTCCCCCAGCGGAGCTCCCCAGGAGCCTGCTGTGGGTCCTCCTGAAGACCCAACTACAAGGGCCCCCAAGAAACACACGGCATGTCGGCGTGGGCAGGGGTGGGGATGGCATGTCTGTGGTCCCCATCTTGTCCTTTAGCATGTGGCCCAGCTCTCACCCTACCCTGCCCCTCAGCCTTACCGAGCCCACTTTACTCAGCAGCTGCTCCTCTGCCTTGCTGAACAGGGCCTTGCTCTGGATGGCCGCGATTGCCTCCGGGTGCAGCTGCCTCATGGCCTGGCAGGCCAGCCTGAGCACAGGAGGAGAGGTGGTAAGGGGAGGCAGCCCCACCTCCTTCCCCCACACCTGAGGACCTGGGTAATGCACAGCCTAGGGCCAGGCGTCAGAGGAAGCCCAAAGCCCAGCACAGCCCCTGGAGAAACCATAGCTCTGGCTGCAGCGTAGTAAAGATGGTGGCAGGGGCATGAGGCAGCCACCTGAGCTCCGCAGATGGCCTCCTAAGTGGCTGAGAAGGGCAATGTGTGCAGCATGTGCCTGGCTTGGCCTGGACGCAGGCTACAAGCGACAGCAGGGAGCAGCCCAGGTGCTCCTCACCGCCAACGCCTTCCCCTGAGGGGCGAGCCATCGGAGTCGGCACAGAGCGCCTGGGAGATGAACTGCCAGAGCCACACAGCACCCAGCGGTGGAACTGCAGCTCCTGGCACTGACGTGGGAGCTTGCGGGTACCTGGTGGCACTGCTCCAGGAGAACAAGGGCAGGGACTGGGTGAAGCCGGCCACTCAAGCCTTGGTCCTATGCTCTCCTCTCCTGGGGCCAACTCTGGGGTCCTCAGAACGTGCCCCCTGCTGAAGCCAACCATACTCACTTGGAGATGACGGGATCGTAGAGCAGGGCGTACCAGCGCTCCTGGACCTCACGCAGAGTGAAGCGGCAGCTGAACTTCACGCCCAAGTGGACAGACGTCAGGTCATTGGTCTGCAAGGCCCCAGAGGAGTTCATTCCAGGACGGCCCTGGGCCCTTTTCCTAGCCACCCACAGGGCCTCACTGGGGCGGGGGCCCACCTGCAACACAGCATTGATGAGCAGGAGGTCGTCAGCTGGCTTCCAACGGCCCAGGTCTTTGGTCACCTGGAGTGGCTGCTTGCTCTTCTTCACGCGCTTGGTGAGTCCCGGGGCCGGGGCGGGGCTGGGTGGTATGGGCGTGCTGGGGGTCTTGGACACCTAGGCCAAGGTGAGGAGCAGAGTGAGCCCAGAGCTGGCCCCAGGACCCCGTCCATGCGACAGCAGCTCTGTCCCCAGGCCCTGCTAGGGAGCTCAGGCAGCAAGCTCAGTTCCCTGTCACCCAGGCCTATCCCTGCCAGCTAACTGCTGCACAATCTTTGACCATATGGGGTCTGCACTGAGCTGGGGGCACCCCAGCCACAGCGTGGAGGGTGGGTGGGTGGCGAGGGGCCGGAGCGATGCCACCTGGGGGTTATTTTTACACCCTGCCAATGCTGGGAACAGGCTGTCTGCTCCCAGAATAGATGCATGCTCCAGGCCTCCCACACGGAATGTGATACAGGATGCACTGGCAGGTGGGGGAGTTGCAGCAGAAAGCAGGAGGAGGAGGAGCCGGAGGAGCCGGCTGGGAGCCGGGCAGGAGCTCACACTGGAGCAGCCAGGTGCCTCGATGGGACTCCTGGGGACACGAACCCCGGCACTGCTCCCGCCCCTGTGCCTCTCAGCCCCTCACCTTCTTCTTCTCACTCGAGGAGGGCTCGCTCCCGGAGCAGCGCCCCGGCTCCACCCCGCCGGTCCCCTTGGCCCGCGTGGAGGACTTGGCCAGGCTGCTCTCCACCAGCTCATCATCAAACTTCTTCCTCTTGATGAACCTGCAGCAGGACCCGTCTGGTGAACACTCCCAGCCCCTCGCTGACGCCAGGCACACACACAAGGCGCTAACTGCTCCCGCCCACCAGCCAGGACCACAGAGCCGAGCCACGCTGCGGTGGCCCTCTGAGATGACGCGAGGCTGAAGGCTGCGAGTGACTTGGCAGGAACAGGTAGAGCAGCAGGCTATGCTTGGGGCTGCCAACCCAATGTCATGGCTCTTCCCCCTGGCCATCACCTGGCCCGCCAAACCCTCACTACCTGGAGGAGCTTCTGCGCTTCGGGATGGTGCCCAGAGCCTGTGAGGAGGACCGCTTCTGCCCTGCCAGTGACTCCTCGTCCTCCGAGCGGCTGGCAGCGCCGGATGCCATGAGGGATGAGTCTAGAAGCCCCTGAGAATCTGCAAGGAGAGAAGTGGCTAGCTCAGGCCGTGCAGAGCTGAGCAGAGCCATGCCCCCTTTGGGGACCTCGCCTCAGCTGGCCCTCCCCGGCCCCCTTGGCCCTTGGGGTTTTAAGGCCAGAGCTCCCATTCGGCTCAGCCTGGCCCCGACCTTCCGCCCCAGGTCATTCTCCAGGTGTCGTGTGCAACACATGGCCTTCAAGTCAGAGTGGTAAGGCAGAGCCACTTGGCCACGATTCTGTCAAGTTCATGAGTGCTGCTGCCCAGGGGTAGGTGGCAAGGCCCAGTCAGGACTCAAAGACACATGTGCTGGGTGCCTGAGCATCCAGACACTGGTCTGCCCCTTACTACCTTTGTCCATCGTCTCACAGTCCCAAAGCCACAGGTTCCACACCACAGGGCCAGGAGGAAGGGTCCCACAGGCTCATCCACGGATTCAGAGCAGGTGGGCGGGGAGGCTGAGAGGCGAGTCTGCAAAGGAGAAAGGGAGCTGAGCTACCTGAGGCCCAGTCCCACCTCCTGGTCCTGGCTCAGGTACCCCGCAGCCCCACGAGTGCAACGGGGTACCAAGTCAGCAATATTCTCAGCAACGAGGAGCCTTAGACACAGCTGCCGGCACCTCGGATAACAACCGGAGAACTACGGATTCCAGAAAAAGGAACTCCCCGGACCAAGGCCAGGGACGGGGGCATGAGCCACACACACACACACACACCCCCCTACAGGAAAAGGCAGCAGGAGTGAACCCTAACTAGCCCATCTCAGTGGCTTTTATTGACAAGTTACTGATACTTTATGCAGGCTAAAACAAACACACATACACACAAAACAAAAAGCCCAGGTTGGGTACTTCACACTTATCCCCCAACAGGGGTCTCCGCTCTTAGGGGCCACCCCAGGCGACACGAACCCCTGAGATGAGGGGACAGGGCTCGGGCCAGGTCTGCCTCAGGGGCTCAGGAGTGGGGAGCGGGAAGTGGGTTCTAGAACTGCTGGATCCAGGAGGAGCACCGAGGGGCCGGGCGAGCTCACAGCCTGCCGGCGGGACGCGAACCCGCACACTACCAGACGCCACCCGCCCTCACACGCCCCCAGTGCGCACGCGCGACAGCTCCCGGCGCACCCCCCCATCGCTCCGGCCAGCGCATGCGCAGACGCCGGAGCGCGCCCGGGGCGGAGCCCCAAGCCCGGTGCTTTTGTGTGGGGTGCCGGTCGTCACCGCGGCGCTCCGGGAAGCCCCGCTTCTCCCCTACGTTCGCCCTGAACGCCCCGGGGCCAGCCGCGTCTCACCATTCCTACGCTGCCGGCTCCAACAACTCGGCGGCGACGGCAGCTGCCGCAGGGCCAAAGGCGGCTTCCGTGAGGCGCATCTACTTCCGGGCCGGGACCGGAGGGCTGGGCGATGCCTTCCGGTTCGTCCTGTGGGCGTGAAGGAAGGGGGCGTGGCCATGGCTGCCACGACAGTCCGAAGGGAGAGTTCGCTCCGAGGCGCGTCGGGGATGGTGGGCGCTCCAGGGCCCGGCGGCCGGCGGGAGAGGAGGGGGCTCGAGCGCTGGCCAGGTGCAGGAACCTTAGAGGGCGTCCCGGGACCGAACACGCACTCCCCCTGATTGCATGCACCTGAGGGGCGAGTCAGAGCATGCAACAGCTCAGTGTCCTTGCTGTTCAAATAAGATGGAACCCCTACTGTACTTATTTCCTGTGAGCGATGGCCGGTTTTCTGATGTGGCGCGCTGTGATTTATGGAGGGCAGTGTTTGAGTCCTTGGGGAGAGCAGTCTGGGAAACGGCAAAATGACCCAGTGAGAGGGTCACAGTGAGAGGTGACAGTGTGGGCGTATTGCCGTGTGGCTGGAAGCAGACGGAATACAGGGAAAAGAGAGAGCGGGAGGATGCAAGCAGCGAGGTTATGTCAGCCCTGTAATTCACAGTATACACTGTGGTTTGTATTTTTTAAATGAGAATACGAAACAATTGTCTTTTTTTAAAAAAAGATATTTTATTTTTATTGCAAAGTCAGATATACACAGAGGAGAGACAGAGAGAAAAATCTTCCATCTGATGATTCACTCTCCAAGTGAGCGCAACGGCTGGCGCTGTGCCGATCCAAAGCCAGGAACCAGGTCTCCCACACGGGTGCAGGGTCCCAAAGCTTTGGGCTGTCCTCGACTGCTTTCCCAGGCCACAAGCAAGGAACTGGATAGGAAGCAGAGCTGCTGGGATTAGAACCAGCACCCATGTGGGATCCTGGCGCCGCTAGGCCACGCCGCAGGGCCCAAGGTTTGTATTTTTTAAGGATGTATTTGAGACTGGTACCTTGGCATAGCAGGCTGATCTACCTGCATTGCTGCCATCCTATATGGAGACCATTTAAGTCCTGGATGTTCCACTTCTGGTCCAGCTCCCTGCTCATGTGCATGGAAAATCAGTAGAGGATGACCCAGCTTCTTGGAACCCTTCACCCACCTGGGGGATCCAGGGCTCTCTCTTAGGATCAGCTCAGCTCTGGCCACTGTATCCATTTGGAGAGTGAACCAACAGATAGAAGATCTTTCTCCTCTGTAAATCTGCCTTTCAAATAAAAATAAGAAAGTATATGTATTTGTGGGTTGATGCCTTGGTATAGCAGACTAAGCCTCCTTTTGTGACACTGGCATTCCATGTGGGTGCCGGTTGGAATCCTGGCTACTCCCGTTCCAATCCAGCTCCCTGCTAATGGCCTGGGAAAGCAGCAGAGAATGGCTCAAGTCCTTGGGTCTCTGTGTCCACACAGGATACTCAGATGAAGCTCCTGGCTTCTGGGCCAGCCCAGCTCTAGCTCTTGCTGCTATTTGGGGAGTGAATCAGCAGACGGAAGAACTTTTTCTCCCTAATGGCACAATTACAAAAAAGTAGAGACAAAGAGAGTTTTCTTTTGCTGGTTCACTCCCCAAATGGCTGTGCCGAGCCAAAGCCCAGAGTCAGGGGATTCATCTGTGTCTCTCACATGAGCAGATATGGGCCCGACCAATCAGGTCATCCTCTGTTGCTTTCCCAAGCGAGTAGCCAGAGAGCTGAAATGAAAGGGGAACAGCCAGGACTTGAACCAGTATCCATATGGGATGCTGGCCCATTGACCTTTGTTCTTAGTACATAGTCTTTATTTTTTAATTACATTTGATTTTTTTTAAAGATTTATTTTTATTATTTTTTTAATTGGAAAGGCGGATATACAGAGAGGAGAGACAGAGAGGAAGATCTTCCGTCCGATGATTCACTCCCCAAGTGAGAGCAACAGCCGATACTATGCCGATCCGAAGCCAGGAGCCTCTTCCGGGTCTCCCATGTGGGTGCAGGGTCCCAAAGCTTTGGGCTGTCCTCGACTGCCTTCCTGGGCCACAGGCAGGGAGCTGGAAGGGAAGCAGGGCTGCTGGGATTAGAACCGGCGCCCATATGGGATCCTGGGCGTGCAAGGCGAGGACCTTTAACCACTTGCGCCACCGCGCCGGGCCCTAATTACATTTGATTTTATGATACAGTTTCATAGGCTCTGGGATTCCCCCAACTCCTTCCTGTACCCTCCCCCCATGGTGGATTCCTCCACCTTATTGCAGTATTACAGATCAAATCCAGTCATAATTCTTTCATTGCAAGCATATACCAGACATAGTGTCCAGCATCTTATTGTCCAGATAAATCCAACAGTTTCTTGGGGAGACCATCTGTGGTCTGAAGGTAGAGCTGGCAGAATATCACCCTGACTCATTAAAAAGCCACAACATAATATCAACCACGGTTTACAACCTTATGGAGTTAATTGACATGATATTGAGTGACCAGTATGATTAGAAAATGCAAGTTCTTAACCACATCCTGTGACTACTTCATTGACATTTCAATTTTAGTTTATACACAACTGGCTGATATACACCTTAAAATGGCTATAGGATACTAATCAGCTGTCTTGTGTCTATTTTCATTTTTGTATTTAGTAGTTTGTAGTGTAGAAGCATAATTTTCACTGAACTTGATGGATTGTGGGATAGTCCATGCTGGCTTATAACTAACGAGGCATTTGTCAACAGTTGAGGCACAGAACAGTTTTAGGAGGGGTGTGCAGAGAAATCTTCAATACCTTAGTGAGGAGTAACTTGTCTTTGTGTCCTAGCTAGTAAGGTATGTGTGAGTCCACGCTGACTGTTTCCTGTCTGGTGCTGAGCTTTCTCTATCTGTCTAATCTTTTTTTTGTGGGGGAGGGACTCGGGAGCGACCCTGATGGTCATTGCAGGAGAGGGTGGGGATCCAAAGTTGGAACTAGGTAAGGACCAGAGAAATCTCCTCTCCCGATTCCCGAAGGAAGTTTACTGTTCTTCTGTTTCTGCGGGCTGCTCAGGGCTCCTGGCTGCTGTTCCGATGACATTGACTCCTGCAAGGAAGGATTTGGACTTCTTCCATTCCAGGTGGGAGATCCAAGTGGGAGCAGATGACCTCAGAGTTCTCGGCCTCCGAAGGCAATCCAGTTCCCCATGGTCTCCTTGGCAGCTGGGGCGTAGTCCTTGGTGCCCGTCTTAGTACATAGTCTTACAGGATTACAATCAAGGGCATCCTATGAAATGATTCACTCTTTATTTTATTAGAGCGTCAAAGAGGTAGAAGAGGAGAGGTGTTGATATTTTCTGTTCACTGGTTTACTCTCCAAATACCCGCAACAGCCAGAGCTGGGCCAGTCCAAGGCCAGGCACCTGAGATGCCATCCAGGTCCTTGTGACAGAAGGTGGGGACGCTAGGAGGCCACCATCTCCTACCTCCCAGTGTTCATGTTTGCAGCCAGCTGGAGCAGAAGCAGAGTAGCCAGGGCTTGAACCAGGTACTCTGATACGGGTTGCTAGTGTCCCAGTCATATCAAAAACCCACCCTGGTTTAATTCTTAAAAATTTTAAGTTTATTTAAAAGATGAGGAGATTCCAGCTCTACATAAGGTATATTCTGGGGTGGAGTGGGTGGCGAAGGGAAGGCTGGGAGAGAGCAGAATATTCTGTGTCTGTGGAAAAAGAGAGTCCTCCTCTGCATTGCCTGTCCTCAAGTGATCTTGGGAAGGGGAGGGGTCTCCTGATACCACCCCAAGTCCAAAGGAAGAGGAAGTAGGTCCCTGGGGAAAGGTCACTGACTGATAGGTGGATGGAATTTACAAAGAGCAGAGGGAGTGTGGCTTCCGGCTCCCGACCCTAAGCTTCCTGGTTACCTGTCCTGTTTCATCCCTCCCTTAGAGACGGATGTCCTGTTCAATCTGAGGACTGTTGAAGGGTGCAGGCTCATCCCATCTTCTGTGGTTACTTGCTGCTGAATAGGGGCGTTGGGCTTGCCTATCCTGGGTTTGGAAAATTTCATCTAATGGATGGTTCTCACAAGCTGGGAGACTTCCTTTCAGTGCTCATGGCTGCGTCGTCATCAGTTCTCTGAGATGCTGTTGGCTTCTTTGCACAGGAGTCAGCTAAGTAAGTGGTCTCATCCGGCAACAAGTGAGCCAAGGATAGATCACACCCATGAGTTCTGGTGCCTGAGCTCGAAGTCCTGACATGTCTGGGGCCAACATGAAGTGAAAGAACATGTTGCTTGCCAACACCAAAAGCCTCCCTGACAAGGCAGGTGCAGCAACCTGGCCCCTGGATGCTTGCAGCTCCGGCCCTGTAGGTCCCTCTGTCTGGCCCACCCCCAGTTGTGGCTTTTGCACCTGCCAGCAGGAGCAGTGTCTGGCCCATGGCTTAATTCTTAAAATGATGCTCCTGTGGTTGCCTATGCAGGACAGACTGTAAAGGGCGACAGAAAGCAGAGGTTGTTGCTGCCATCATAGTGAGTTAAACTGGGGTGGTTTAGCTGTGATGTAGGGGCAGGGGAGCTGAACAGGAAATGGTGACTGCCATGTGTCTTGCTGGTAGAACCACGAAGCTTAGCTAAGCAATTACATGTCCAGGATAAGACAGACTCCTGGTCTAAGGAGCAGTGGAGGGTAGATAGCCCTTCAGGAAATATGCAGCGTCTGACCCTGTCTTACTTTCTGCCATTTCCTTCCTAACTCCCGACTTGCATGCTCCTGGGTATTCCTATTGAAGTGGAAATGTGCTTGTTTCCTGTCTTTGTTCAGAGTCCTACATCTTCCTCAGGCTAAAACCGTGGTCTGGCCCCTTCTCTCTTTGAGCTCATCTTTTTTTTTTCATTCATTTTTTTCATTATATTTTTTACAATCTTTACATAGTTAATTAGGGTAAAAAGGTTCAAGGACTATAGGAAAGTGGGTCAGACTATTATTTCCATATTGTTTCTTTCATGTATCTGAGGTAAAGGGGGATATTAAAGGAGAAGCCCCATCCAGTTTCCCACCCACCCCAGCTTCCACATGTGGGCA